ATTAAGTTAAGCTGTGAGGCTAATGGAGGGTTAGTACAAGCAGTCTCAAACTCATCAATTTCAACAAGTTAAGGAAAAGATGAGTGATAAAAAAAAAAAAAAGAAAGACATTACAAGCAAATTTGGAGTAAAGGATAATAAAGTAAATCCTAGGGTGGAAGTATTATGAAGAAGGGTTTAATGTGGCCTTTCAAATCACTTCAGGCTTAATAACTATCTGTGCAGTTTTTATATGTGCTGAGAGGAAATACCTGTTAGTATGCCAAACAGACCAAAAAAAGTGTCATTAGGTTTGCACTGCAATCCCTTAGTCGTGTCCTGTTTGTCTGCTATGTTGCTGGAGACACTGATTTTAAAATGTACTCTTAGTTTCATTTTTAATTGATTCCAGTAAGAATCTGTTAGAAAGGGAGTTACCTTTCTACACCTTGGCATTTAGTCAGTATAATTCTTAAGCCCATTGTTCCTTCTTGTCAAACAAGAATATATAATCTTTGGGACAGCATGTTTCCTTCTTCCCTCCCCTGCCATAGGTGACTTTCTTGAGACCTGTAACTCCAGCGAAGGAAAGCCAGCAAACTGGAGGTAGCCTGATGGCAAGTGATAGTTTCATCATTCAGCTGGCAAGTGACAGGTTCAGTTCCAGCACTTACTTGCTGAACTTTCCTGTATTTTGCATTAGACACCCATTGATTAAAAACTAGAAATAATTCAAGAATGGGACCTCCACATCTCTCAGCTGAAAATAAATATGTCACGTCCACCGTAGCTGGTCCTCCTCTGGTTCTGTGATTCATGTGCTATTGGCTGAAACAGGAGCAATAGCAAATGTCCTGAATAAATGTCACCAGGAAGGGACATGCAAATCCTTGCTCTCCTTGAGAGGCAGACAGAGATTTTGTGCTGCTTTGTGCTTGACAAAAACACAGGATTTTGGAGTTTGGTTGCTTTTTCCAATGTACGTTTATAGGCAAGGTGGGCACTTTCCAGATGTTTGTGTGATTTCGTCATAATAAATCAGAACAGGTAGCTTAAAGGTACTCTTTGATACTTCTGAATAATAGGACATTGCAAGCAAGAAGCTTGGAGAAATAAACTTAGTTAACTAGGGAAGAGGGATTTCATTTCCTTCCTAGAGACACAAAATATTTATGACAAACTTTTTTTTTTAATTGCTCTTGTGTTTAGTTTCATGTTTTGTTTCCTTCTGCCTTTTGTTTCCCTGCTCAAGGACAAAATAAGAAACAATAATAAGTTTTTATTTATAAGTGCCCATGCTTAGAGGCCTCTGGGAGCCATGACAGAAAATAACTAAAACCATATTTTTTTCACAAATAGGGAATTGTGCCCAGATAAAATTGGGATTTGGAACAAAAAGAGGCCTGTCATCCTGCCCCAACATACAATATACAGCCTAGCAATAAATAACATTTATGCCTTCTTGCTTAGTATGCCTGTGCGTGCTCTGAGCAGAGACTACGTACCTAGAAGGAGGGAAGAAAATGCAGAATACAGAGAGGTGGGAGGACATAGCTTAACTTTAGGAGGTTCAATGTGGAGTGGAAGAAAGAGTGGGATTGATGGAAGGTAGTACTACTTTTGTTCAGCTGCTTGGATTGTATTTAATTTCATGTAGGAGCTTTTTCATATCTCAGTTCAGAGACTGGTATTCAGACCAGCTTCCCCACATCCCCTTTGCGGCTTTTCGGCAAGGCTTAGTGTTCGGGCTTTCTGGTTCACCAAGAGTACTTCTGATTGTTCTCTTTTCTACTTTTCATTAACACACACCCCCTCCACCCTCCCTTTTTTTTCCTGCTGTTAAATTTATATTTGCCATCTGCTTTGGGCTGGATAGTTCATGGTTGGTAATGAATATATTAGAAGAGGACAGTGAACTAATGAAGTGGCGTTTGACAGATAGAATATAGAAAAGTGGTCAGGTTTTTGTTTTATTACTTTTTGCCCTATAAGACATGGAATATTTTAGGTTTAGTCAGTATAATTCTTAAACGCTTTTCCTTCTTATCAAACAGAAGAATATAATCTTTGGGGCAGCAGCCTTCCTTCCCTTCCCTCCTCCCCCATAGGTGACTATCTTGAGACCTGTAACTCCAGTGAAGGAAAGCCAGCAAACTGGAGGTAGCCTGATGGCAAGTGATGGTTTCATCATTCAGCTGGCACATCACAGGTTTGGTTCCAGCACTTACTCACTGAACTTTCTTGTGTTATTGTATTATGAGATCCTTGATTACAGCGGGACATGCACCACGCTGTAGAACCTACGTTTTGAAAGGAGAATTCATGAGTTGGTTTTATTTATTTATTATTTTTAGTGATTTCAGTCCATCCAGTGTAAGAGATTGTGCCATACTGTAAGTTGGTTTCCACTGTAATAGGAGGTGGATGCTTGGGTAGCTCTGAGTTATGCTTCATAACTTTTAGAAAGACCTAAGTCCTACAGCTGTTTTTTCATCTGAAAAGCAAAAGCTACTGTGTGTTTTATAACAACCTATGACCCATGTCCTATAGGAATTCAGCAAGGAAGCTTAATTATGGGCTGGTTTCAGTGGTGCTGTGACACAAGCATTGATATTTCATGGATGTAGTTTTGTTCAAGCATGTTTACTGTGCCCACGTTAAGACAGTTTGCTCGATCCCGTATGCAAGTGTACTAGTACTTTACTCCTCTATATATAGAAAGAGATGATAGGCATTTCCAAGCCTATTCCAGTCCTTGAGCTCTCTCCTGTGATTGGTAATAAAGTTGTTCATTTATGCCACTAGTAGTAGTATCTTTTATAAATGGGAATTTTTTTTCAAAGAAAAACATCATGTTGGCAATTCTGCTTCAAGAGCTGTTGCAAAATGCTAGCTTAACATGGATTTTCTTTGTTTTGCTGAAAACAGAAATAAAGTATAACTCAGCTGGAATGAACTAATGGGTTTATAATAGTAGTGTCATTGAGTATTTTTTCTTCTTCTCCAGAAGGTGGAAAAATAGAACAAAAGTTATTAAACCAGTTTTACAAGTCTCGTTCTCAGGAAGCAAAGCAATGTTTTGTACAGGAAACTTTTCCCCATTAAAAAGCCTTTAAATCTGAGTTCATAGTCCTTCAAAAAGTCTGTGAAGGCTTCAGCTGATTGAAAAATATGTGGATTTTCCATTGAAATGCCAGTTGCAATTATTTCTGATAAATAGGTATATTACAAAGCAAACAAAATACTGAACGAGGCCTGAATTTGAGTAAAGACTTGGGTGCATAAGTCACTGTGGTGGGAAAACTGCGAGCTCTGTAACCACTTTGTTACACAGTGCTCTGCAGTCAAACATTTCTTGGATACATCCTTTGGTAGACTCCCAGCTGCTCTGGCCTAAGGAACTGGTGATCTAGTTTCTGCTGATGCTTCCTTGCCATTCAGAAACTAAGTAGGCTGACCACTCATTCTCTGAGGTGGTTGTCTAGTAGGCATGTATTAGCAGCAGAACTCACCCACTCCTAAAATACAGTCACAATTTCTGCTTAAAATATGGGTGAAGGAGGTGGCTGTGGTAACTTTCTACATGGTAGTTCACTGTTAAGTGCATTTGCCCAGAGACTGAGGTCAAAATTCCAGTCTGTCTTCAACCTTATGGTATTCAAAGCGCCTGTCTCCTATTTCCCAGGAGATTTACTGCCACTGTCTTGTAGGCCACCTTGCGCGGTGAGAAAGTAGTGGTATGAATGTATGAAATATAAAGCCTAAGTAGTATATGATTTTGTATAAGCTGTTGTAGCTTTTGTAGTAGAGGTGATAGTCCAAAGAAGGCTAAAAGCTGATTGCAATATAGCTTCTCACTCTAGTAGTGACAAAGCAGTATATTTTGAGGGAGTAAAGACACTGACAGGATCTTCACAGAAACACTGCAGACAGGAGAGCCTGATCCCCTTCAACTTCGTTGAAGAGGCAGCAGCTGGAAATGTTCCTCAGTCGAGTGGCATATGGAGATCTCCAGGATGGGGAAGGCTGTGGAAGCTTGTGACTTTGGCAAAAGAAGGAAAGCTTTCCTCTGTAGATTTGCAGCTGCAGAAGAGGTCCAGTGCCCTGGTAGTAATGGAGCAAGAGAAAGACTTAGAGAATTCCCATAGGAAATTGTAAGAAACCCAGAAACCCCCAAACAAACAAACAAAACACCACCACCTGCCCCCTCCGAGGAAATTGTAGTGGGAGACTCCCTTCTGTAGGAGCTGGATGCCCTTATCTGCTGACCTTACTTGCTATCTAGGAGAAGTTATTCTTTGCCCAGGGCCCAGTGCCACAACATTGAAAGACTGCCAGGTCTTGTCCAGGGCTTAGACTACTGTCTCCTGCTGCCCATCCATGTGGGCACATGCCAATGATACTGCCAGAGGAGACCTTGAGAGTGACCTCAAGAGTAACTCCAGGGTTATGAGGATGTTCTTGATCATGATGGTGAAGGGAAAGCCTTGGAGGAGTGGATGGGTCCTATGGGTCAACACTTGGTTGCGCCTCTGGTGGTGTTGACAGAGGTTTGACTTTTATGACCACGGGGCCCTCTGAGGATCAGGGACTGCTGTGGAGAGAAGGGTTCTACCTGACAAAGTAAGGCAAGAGTATTTTTTTTTTCCAACAAGCTGGCCCTGAGGTAGCCAGACCAGCATGGGGGAATGTATATGTGGCTCAGCCCAATATAGAGTATAAAAATTTAACAACTAACAGCAGAATTTTTAAACGGATTTAAAATCAACTTAATATTAATATAATACTTCTCTCTTGGAAATACATCACTACAAAAGCATTTTTCTTTATAGATCACATCAATTGAATTCGATCAAAACATGCATTAGATGGAATGTGCATTCCTTCTTATTTTGAAATGCGTGTTTAGAATTATTTATTTTAGCTATGATATGTCTTTGAAATAGTGTAGTAGAGTTGGTGTTATGTCATTGCCTCATTCATTTTATCCAGCATACTTTTTTTTGGAAGAAATTCTCTTATGTAACTATTTGAAGACATCCCCATCAGCTGTATTCCTGTCAGGGGTATTACTGAGGTATAATGTATGTTTTCAGTGCCCGTGGCAGTCTCTGAGTTCCTTGGCTTGCCAGCAATTTCTCAGACTGCTGCTGTCATTGTGGCTTTCTTCCCAAAGCCATTTTGAAGTCCTGCAGTGGGCAGGTATAGGGATGATAAAAGAGACTGATATTCTTAAATGTTGAAACTGTGGCAAACATTTTTAAACATGATCACCTCTTGTTGAAGAGCAAAGAAAAATGAGAACTGGAAAATCCAGATCCTCCTAGGATGGAACAGCCTGTTGCACAACAGGTTTTCAGTGCAAGTGTGGAGTGATACTGTTTGTGCTGCAGATTTTTTGTGGCAAATAATAGCTTGTGTAAAAAGTAACTTACTAGCTAGTTCACTGAATTAATTGTCCTTAAAAGAATCTTTATATATTTTACTTTTATATTTCTTTGTTCTTGAAAGACAGTTGACAAGATACCATTACTCTGTTGTTCATGAAAGTTAGAAAAAGTGCTTTCAGACCAAAATCTTCTAATAACCTTACATTTTGCAAAAAAAAAGTGCAACCTACATCAGTTTAGTATGGCATAAAGAGCCTGAGTGTTTTGTAATGTCGATACAAAAGAGGCAGGAGCCTTCATAGGGCCTTTAAACTAGTAGGTGTCAACCTATCCCATTTTCCATGAAATATTAACTAAACTTGTTTGTGTTAGGTTAGCTAGAGATCTAAAAGTCTCTTTTTTCATTTAAATATTTGTAAGAATAAAATAAAAACTTAAAAATAAATCTTTAAATAAATCCATCTTTTTTTATTACATTGGGGGAAAAAACAAACAAACCTTGAAACACCTCTGGTCTCATCATTTTGCAGGCATAATATTTCTGGTTTTATGTGTGGGTTTTTTTTATATTTGCAGTGAAGGTAAGCAGCTCTTGTTCTTTTAAATGGGTTAACTAAGTATACTAAATTGGAATCAGAAGTGAGTTCTAAATTCTTATTTATCGAAACAAATGGAACAAGTCCTCAAAGTGTAAAATATGTTCTTTGCTCATTTTGGAGTAATTTCAGTCCTGTTGACCCACTTTCCTTAATATGCATTTGATAGCAAGGAATTTGGAGCGGTTGGTTTGTTTTATGTATGTAGGGAATCTTCTGTTACATATATAAGGAAGATATTTATAAATGGCTCTAAAACTTAAGAGCAGTGCTTGGAAAATCTTTAGTCTCCCTCCTTTCAGTTAACAGAAAACACTATCTTACCTGTAATGGGCCAACATTTTGGTACTTAGAGTTTCTAACAGAGACACTGGTAATCTTCTTGTTTATAAATATGTCTCAAGGATGAAACATAAGTACAACCATCTCAGCAAAAGAAAATTGCTTGTGAAAGGCCAGCAATGTGGTGTCCTATCTTTTTGGTACAAATAGTTTCAGGGTTTTTGGGCAGCGAACAGCAAGTAATAAAAAGTTTGTATTAAGAAAATGCATTGTATTTTTCTGTTTTTAATTCCACCTCCTTCATACTACTACCTTCTCTTGGATCTGTTTTTGAAATTTATGCTTCGATAAAGTTGAGAGTCTTCCATTTTTGCCCTTTAGTGCTTATTTCTGTAGTTATTTGGCATCCCTGCTGTTCACTTCTCGTCTCTTCCTCAGTCCCAGACTCAAGAGATCCAGAAACCTCATTCGAATGATCTTGAGTTCAGTGGGGGCAAACTTGGGGAGATTCTGGAGAAGAGGTATCTGTTACGTGGTCAGTTAAATTAAACCTAGAGTTTAGTTCACTGAATGTTTTTGTTATGGTTGTGGTTGTCATTATTTAAAAGATGGTGAGTAGAGATAACTATGATCTGGGATTAGAAAAGAATATTAGAAAAGAACATAGCTGATTTTTCTCTCAGTTATTGCCAAAAAAAAATGTGAGGAGGAGAAGGTGTGTGTGGAAACATGGCAGACTGAATGGAGGAATCATCGTGGAGTTGAAGAGAAGCAACTGGAGTCAAGTTCAGTAAAGCCTAGAGCAAGACAGTAGAAGAACACATTAGAAAAGCCAGAAGAAATGTTACTGGAACAGAATAATGTAGAAAAAGCAGAAGGAAAAGAACAAGTAAATCAACATGATATAAAAGATGGCAGTACAAAAATAAGCATTAATGGAAAAAATAGGCCACTATTAATCATGCAGGAAAATTAGAGTCAATTAAAAGATCTTTAGATGGAGGGAATGGAAAGAGGTGATGAAATAATATGTGAAAGATGAGGGGGGAAAAAACCCCAAACATTTAATGAATTAATAAAAAAAAAGTAAAGCCAGATAAGATCAGCAAGTCCTAGTGATCATGTTAAACACAGGCTCAAAAGATATTTCCAGTGGTTTACCTTTTCACTTCTTGAAACAAGTAGGTCAAATAAAAATTCCTAATTATTTTATTATGCTTATAATTAAAAAGTATAGTTCTACCTGTTGGTTGTTTTTTGGTGTCGTCCCATCCCCCCCCCTCCCTCCCCCCCCCCCCCGGGTTATTTGTATCTCTCTTCCTGTTTCATATTTCTCTATGTAGAATGTGTTACACTGCAAGTAAGTACACGTTTCATGAGTCAATGCTATGCAGAATATAGTCTCTGAGGTGACAGTTATGTAGAACTACTAAAGCATTTCTTATGTTTTATTTATTGTTCTATTTAGTAATGAATTTGCTTTGAAATCCCACAAATGAAAACAAATTTCAGTCATTTAAGGTTGTAGATAAATTTTTTTTTTACATTTAGTTTCATTAAAAGGATAATAGAACAGGAGTTCACACTGATCTTGACCTTGATCTGCTTTGTAAAGCTTTTGGAGCTGCATAGACGATGACAAAAATCCTCCAGGGTTTCCACACCATGGAGATAGGGTGCATTGCAGCCATCTGTAGAGTGTGATCCTATAATTTGCTGAGAATCCTCATTGGCAATGAATTTAATTAAGCAGTATCTAGACACAGTTTCTGTCGTTGTTTTTTGCAAGTTCTTTCTCTAAATAATTTTAAAATCTTTGGTGAAACTGGTGGAATTCTGTTGCTTTCCTACAAGTGCCTATGGACCAGGCCTTGAAGTTAGGGGCATTCAGCACCCAAAGGGATGCTTAGCACCTTGTGTTATTCAGTCTCTATAACAACAAATAGATATTGCATGAAGTAACTTCTAATATTATTTGTGTGTGCAACTCTGAAATGTCTTCAACATTTCTCCACATTGTATCTTGCTACAAAAATATCATTTTTGTCTATGAGCTTTTATGCCAAAGATCCTCAGGGGACAAATGGAGGCTTGCACCACATAAAGATGACTGTACTAGTATCTGTAAAATCCAAGAAGATTAATAAATGGAGTTTATTTTATAGTGCAGTAAATCTTTAATTTTTTAAATAGTTTTAACTTTTTTTTTTTTTTCTTTCAACTAAGGAAATGCTACTTCACCACAAGTTCAAAGACCTTCTTTCATGGACTACTTTGATAAACAAGATTCCAAGAATAAAAGCCCTGAAAACTGTAATCAGAACATGCATGAACCTTACCACATATCCAAAAACGTTTTCCCTGATAACTGGAAAGTCCCTCAAGATGGAGACTTTGATTTCGTAAGTACATTTTTATTGTTTAGTTTCTTGCATGCTGTTTATTTTTTATGTGGCAAAAATAGTTAATCCCTTTCTATAACTATGTTAATACAAGTAAAATAAGTAAACTTTCAGGAATACCATCCAATTATCTAACCTTAATGCTTCATGCTCGTTGTTGAAATAAGTACATTTGCTTAACACACGACCTTTTTAATGGGGAGTGGTATGTGACATTATGAATATACTTTGTAACTAGTTTTTTTTAAAAGTATTTTTGGTTCTTTATAATTTATGTGTTACAACAACTTTAAAATTTGATCCAGTTCTATTTTAAAAAAATAAACAAATTGCTACAGGTGTGGCATATTGTTGTCACGTTTGCTGAGTATCTTGGCGAAATGATAAGCATTTTAAACTGGATTGGAGCCATTTAATCGTTCTCTTTGGAGGTGGTTAAGATCACCTACTGTTTTGCACAAGCCAGCTTGTTGGTACTATTCCAATAGTGCACATCTGTCTACATAGAATTATTCTATCTAACACCAGTCTGTCTGTTTTAGGGTGGGGTTTTTCCCCCTCCAAAATATGTGTAGTTTATTTCTTTTTGCCTATGTTGCAAATTATAACAGGGGCAAAAAGAAAATGTTCCTAAGTTGTAGGTTGCTCTTAAAGGGAAATAAATGATTACTGTTTTGAGACTTGTAGATAATTATACCTGTTTTTCACCTTTGTTAATTTTTTTTAACATGCTTGAATGAAAGAATTTAGTTTATCTGTTGTGGATTAAACAGGTTCTTAACTGCAGTGCAGTAGCTAAATATGATCACATGGCACCTTTTTGAAAGTACACTTGGGATTTGGAGAAAAATGTTGTGTTTAATTTTAGGTGACAGCTGTAGGTGTGGGAATTTTTTCCCAGTTTTCACTTACTTCATTTCTACATAAAGCTGACTCTTAAATTTAAGCTACTGGAGCAAAGCCAGTTAAATAGCACAGTACAAACTGTTGCTGCCGGAGAGTTTTGATTAAGTTGGATTTTGGTTTGGGTGGGATTTTTTTAGGCCTTTTTTTTTTTTTTTTTTACCATAAAGTGCAATAGTCATCATCCTGATAATTGACTAACAAAATAATTATTTGCACCATTTATTGGAAAAAAGCTGGCCATTATTTAAGTGAGGTTATTATAGTGGCAATAAAATTGCCCTTAGAACAATTTAAAATTAATTCTATCTTTTCCATTACTTGTTAAGAAATGCAGGCAAAAATGATTCTTCTTGTAAATGCTAAGATCTTGATTCTGTAAGTGCTTATTCGTGAATAATTCACGCATGGATAATCCTGTGGAACTTGTTGACATTGCTGATGTCACACAGGACGTTGGTTTTAACAGCCTGCTGGTTTGAACCATAGGCAATTATTATTTATTTATATATTCCAGAAGCACTTCTATTTATGTTTTAGACAGCGAGTGGCGGTATTGGTAAGTGGCCTGCAAGAGACTTTCTGAAAGGATAAATCAGTGAGCAGCATGCATAATGTATTGTCTGCTCTTTGTACGATCAACATGAATGTTTTCAGTTGCTGACATGAAGTCTTTAAATGATTGATGAAAGGGGTAAATAATGGAAACTTTTTGTACTAAATAATTCCATTCTATTTTGTTTGGAATTAGCCTGAATGGGATCTAGAAAGGCATCCTAACAGTAAATGCTGACTGTCATCATCTTATTTAAAAAAAGGGATTGATACACTAGAACTAAAATATAAATGATCAAAATCTAACTTAATGCTAGAATACTCTAATAGTACTCCAGCTTTCTAGGTAGAAGAGGAGGGATGCTCTGTAAGTTGGACGTCACCAAACTCATTTGCTGAATGATACTATTATTCTTATTTACCTATATACCTTTGTAAGTCATACCGAGCATGCCAGTGCTGGCAGCCAACAAGTGATCTACTTGTGAGCCAGGGCAGAATGACAGTGCCATGCCAAGAAGAGATACTCAAGTATATCGAATGGAAAGACTTACAAGTTTATTATTTTATGTGTCTGTTAGAGCATAAGCTAGAGAAGCAAAAGTGCCATTGAGGTGGGAGGGAGAAGGGAAGAGGAGGAAGAAATAATCCATATAAATCCCTGCAACTAATCAGTTTGCTTATTTCTATGTATAAGGTGAGACCTGCAGAATTGGAAGCTAATTCTTGTGCCCAAATGGTGTATTTGCTTTAGGCCACAGTGATATTTTATCCTATTCCTAGTATATTTTACCGTTTGATAAAACAATACATAGTTATTTAATTTGTTTAAATATACATCTACGTGTAATGCAGATATAGCAGTTAGTCTTACACACTTGCTGCTGGTTTTAGATAGTGTAAATAAATGATACAGGAAACTTCTCTCATAAGGTGGAAAAATGAATGTATAAAATAATGCAAAATGAACTTAGCACTAAGTCTGGTTTGAAAGTTTTTGTGTGGGCATAGTTTTCTGCCCTGACATAAATGTTTTAAAAACTCCTTGCCAATGAAAATAGAAGACTTTTCCAAGAAAATTAAGATGCTTTGGTCATCACTCTGAGATTGAAAAAAAGTAATTTTAGCAGCGTTTTTTCTTCTGTAAGTACATACTTATGCTTTGTTTTTCACTGTTGAAGTACATCTGTTTTCAAATTCAAAAGCTGATCTTATTTCTTTTTCACTGATGCCATATGGGAATTTGAGATCCATCTCTGACTGTTGGTCCTGCGGGCCTTCAGTTCCATGATCAATCTGTGCTGGTTATTGATGTAACGTTCCATGAACTGATGAGAAAAAATTGCCACTGAAGTTTTGCATTGTATTGAATCAGGTATATTGCAAATAACTTTCAACTAGACTTAATTCTAGTACTGTATAGTCACTGTGAATATTACATTATTCCAAATTTGCCCTGTTATGTATGCTTCAGGACTAAGGTGCTGTTTTCCATGCATAAGGGGTGTTGAGAGTTTTTATACTACATTTCTTCTTGTTTTTTAAAAAGAAAAAACAAAGCAAAACAAAAAAACAACCAACCACAAACATTTTTGAAAGTCATCTTTTCTGTGACTAGGAATTTGTATAGGGTTGCTTTTTTTGATCTTTGTTTTCAATTATTTTGTTGTCTATTTTTTGTCCCATGATAAATTCTGAAAACCCAAAGTATGGGTCTTTTATATCAGTGAATCTTAGAGAAATGTATTTCTGGGAAAGTACTTGTAAATGTTTTGGTTTGTTTTATTTTATTTTTTTTTTCCACTTCAGCCTTTGAAATGAAAGTGTTGAAGCTCTGATTGGATATAAATCTTACAAAAAACAAACTAGTGTTTATTCGAACTTCAGCTTTTATATTAAACTTTTTAATACATATTTCACACTGAAGGATCATAGTGGATTTTTGTTTTCAATGAATACTATCGGACTATAGGCAATTCTTTTACACATTTATGTTATTTTTAAGGGGCCTGCAGCAGATGGCAAAATTAAAGCAGTATTTTTAACCCTAATTCTGTCAGTTTTACTTAGGGTTAAGTGATGTTTTATTCACAGCAAACCTTGATGCCAGTAGGCCTAATCAACAAGATACTACTCATTGTGAAGAAAAGTGGCATAATGTCTTTGATTAAGTAAAGATGTGGTAAAGCTAATAGTGTATGGGTATGATATTCATAGAAATGTTAATGATGCATGGTATAAGCAGCTTTTCGTAATGAGGTTTAACTTTTTAATGGGCCAACTTTTAGTCTTAGATCACAAGTCAGCATTTTGGATCAGAGTGCCTAATTAGAGCAAACGATGTGTTTGTTTCGACCACCTAAGTGACCAGTCCTTTTAAGAACAGTTGTTTTTTATAGATATTATGTATTTGTATGACTATGTTGCTATTATAATAGCTTTGTTCTTTCCATGGGGAATGTTTTCCATGAGATAGGTACATGCTGGAGAGAGCTGTGTATTAAATGAGCAGTATAACTGCAAGGTGTTGTTGAAGCAGCTTGCTGAAGTTTCTTTTTGTCTTTCACAGTTGAAGATTTTGTGGTATTTTGGGTAGCATTTATTACGTTTTTATGGCTATTATAGCAGATGGTTTTCACCAAAAAAAAGGTGAACTTTTTAATAAGCAAGAAGTGCTTGAAATTTTTATCATGTGGGGAAAAACAGGTAAATGTTAGCTTGCTAGATCAATGTGCTATGTGTACATGTTGTTAAATAACCTGCTGCTGCTTACATTTTTACTGTATCATGACATTTTACGTCTCATTAAGACATAAAATTGCTCTGTAAATTCTTCTATCCCTTAGTAACGTGTGTTAGTGTGGAACACGACGTTAACAAAGATTTACATTAACTACAGTGAAGTGATATCTAATTGATGATAACCTGTGAATTAACATTACTCAGAATGAGTTGCTAAACTTCATTTGCACTGATAGAATATGTTATTTCATTTTAAATGAGTCATTTACGTTTCGTTATGAGATGATAAATTGTAAAAAGGCAAATCTATTTATTATAGGAATGCTAGGGTAATGATTTCTGTCTTTAGTAGAATTATTTCCAAACAGGAATGGTGTCCAGATTGTTAAATATTAAACAGTGAACATGTAGATCATGTTTTGCAGTAACTGCAGTATCATGTTTAAGTAGATGCATTTTGGGTGACTTAAAGATTCTGGAATAGCAACAAAAATTTAAAAAGCCATCTGTTACCCTAGGCAGAATATTTCTGGGTTTCAACCAGAACAAATACATTATAATATAATCATTGTGAAATAATTGTATTGCAGATACTGAGCACTTTAGTTAACATTTATAAACGTATAATGTGACAATTGATTCAGTAAAAAAGTAAATACCATAGAATGACTTAAGGCCGTCTAGCATTTAATTAAAACTTCAGTAATAAAGCTAGGCTGAGTTAGCTTCATTGGAAATACTTCTTTGTCCAAAACCTTGGCTGGGTTTACTCTGATTTTATTTAAGCAGCAGACGAGTTT